TCTGGATTATAAACTATATTTTCCGTCATCATTTTGTTAATTAAATATAGATTTAATGAATACTCAATTTTAAGCATAACCTCGAAAGTACTATTTGAAGACATAAGGGCGAAGAATTTGTATAAATTATTTCCACTTCTTTTTAAAAATAATTCTATACGTTTTAATTCAAAAGCTTTAATTGTAGTTTCCGCAGGTTCTAAAAAATTTTAAATAAAAATTAATTATTAAATTGTGATATTGTCGTGTTGTTTGTTCCTCTTTTCTTTCTCCAGTATAAAAAATCCTTTAAAAAATCCACTTTTGGGACCCTATCTTTTTCGGAACATTTCCCATTTATATTTTTTATTACCATACTTTGCATTGTAAAAATAAACCCCAAATAACGTTTAATTGAAGATTGATTCTCAAATTTTGGGTTGACTGTGAACCGTACAAAATCATTAGCATTCAATAAATTCTGTTCAACATTTGGCAGAGTATATGAATCCCCTAAAACATAATTATAATTATATATCCAAAGAATTTAAACAACTAAAACAACCCTCAACCCCCTCCCCTCCCTCCCTCCCTCCCTCCCCTCCCCCCCCCTTCCTCCCCCTACACCCCCCTCCTCCTCCCCCCCTCTCCCCCCCCTCCCCTTCCCTCTCCTCCCCCCCCTCTCCCCCCCCTCCCCTTCCCTCTCCTCCCACCCTTCTCCCCCCCCTCCCCTCCTCTCATACTATTTATAAAATTTCCAAATAAAATTATTAAATACCTTCATAAATTAACTTCATTTTTTCAAATAATTTGTTTGCTTTTAATTCAAGCGAATCAAATGCTTTGACATATTGAAAAATAGAAATTTGGTTTCTAAATTAATTATATTATAGCAATTACTTTATTTTTAATGATTAAGGAATGTAATATTATAAGCTTGTTGGAACCCCAACAACCGGAACTTCTGCCTATGCTCTAGTTACTTAAAAAAAACCTTTTCCTTTTTGTAATTTGGAAGAAATCCCAAGAAATTATTAAGGCTGGATTTTAAGTTTCAAGATACAACACCCATGGATTTGGATCCAATATAGAGTAAAGTAGCTGGGATATAGCTGTTTCTCTCCTTTAGCTAGTGCAAAAGGTTAATCGGCGGCTGGGAGCGAACCAGCACTGCACAGCCTTAGGAATTAAATAGCTATACTATGCTTTAGTATAGGTTATACATAGCGATTGGTTATGCCAGTAAGGGCTTTCAATTCTGATTTAAAGTCAGAATATGTAGAAGATTTTCAAATGTTTTCCAACTTACGGTATTTCTTCTTCTTCAAATACATTATCAAACAAATTAATATAAAAATAAGCATTTTCTCTTATAAACTTGACAATAAGTGTACGTATTATTGCAATTAAATGGTAAAAAATAAAAATATTCTTAGCTTCCTGTGAAAGTAACAAGTATGGAAATTGCTTTTTTTCTTGTTCACTAAATATTTAAATAAAATTTTTATTTTAATACATAGCTTATCAAAGAAAATGTTTTATTAGGGATTGACTCGGGTCAGTTAACATTAACAGTTGGATCTCGATTAGGGCTGAATCTCGGTAAATTAATTAATTAAAAAATTAATTTTTAAATTCGCAGTCCGAAATTACAATCTTGTGATATGAGGGGTAATCTGAGGATATACGGATATTTATGTGGATTTCATGGATTAAGGGTGGTTTCAAGAGAGATAAGTGATTTGGAGAGATATAGAGGATTAGTGATTTGAAGAGTTTCTCCCCTTCCCTCCCAATTTCCAATAAAATTATAAATTGAGGGGGTATGTAAAAGTTTAATTTATGAATTAATTATTAAATCCAACCCTATTTTATCGAATGAACTTAAATCAGGTAAATTTTCATTTTCATTTGTTGCTGAAATATAAACACCAAAACGGTTCAAAAAATTTTCATAATCATTTCTGTCCATTAATTTCCCAAAATCAACAAATTTTTTATAAATAAATAAATGTTTATGTTCTTCATTTAAATTGTTAAACCATATGAATAAATGATTTTGATATTCTTGAATTTTTCCTTCATAATGTTCAATCACCTTTAATAAATTTCTAACTTTACTAATAAATTTAAATTTATTTAAAGAATTAAACAATAATTTAATTGACACGACATTGATTTATAAAAAGAATTAAAAATTTCATTTCCGCCTTCATTAAGGCCTGGGTTTTTCCTGTACCCAGAGTCCAGGCCCAGACATTTTTTTACCTTTCTGGGTTTTCCCTTTTTTTACCTTTCTGGGTTTTCCCCCCCCGAATCTCGGTAAATTAATTAATTAAAAGGGGGGGGGGTTTTTTTTTCTGGGTTTTTCTCGGACTATAGGCCTTGGATTCGGCCCAGGTCAATAAACCAAACGCAGAGTCCAGGAACAGGCCCAGGCTTTTCAAAATCTCGATCTCTAGTATCTATCTATCCCTTTTATACGGGAATCGAAACCTCGGTTTAATTCTCATGAAAAAAAATTAATGATAGAAGTTTATACTTTTACGATTTTTCCAGCAATTTTATACAAGTTTTGTTTGATTTTCTCATTTGTGTATCTAAGTTTTCTTCCCAATTTGTCATTTAATATATTTTTAATATGCTTGTTGTTGCCTTCATTATAGTTAAATTCTAAATCATAATTTTCATTCAAAATTGAAATCATTAAAGACAACTCAGTCAAACAAAAATCGATTCGATTAGAAGACAGCGCTGATGAGCTACTTCCACTTTGCATTATTGCTAAATATTTTAGAGTTATTTTGATAAATATTACCTGTAGATATACATAAATATAACCTGGACAGTAGTGATGGTCGGGATTCCCGGTCTCGGTTCCCGAGTCGGGAAATTTCCCGGGTTTTTTGAGCTCTCGGTCTCGGTATCGGTCTCGGTGTTTTAGTCTCGGAAAACGAGACTAAATTTACACCCCTAATGACGGAAATTTTTTGAACTTTTTGAAGGAAAGGGGAAAGGAATATATTTATAATTTCTCCCATTTGCTTTTGATGGTTGATGGTTGAGTGGTTAAGTTGACTGACTTCACTCACTTAAATATTTCGTAAGTGCTGGGTTCGAATCCTAAGGTGGAAATGAGGTTGTGAAAGTTTTTCTTTTCGGAAATAAACGTTTTTTTCTTAATTTTTTAAACTTGAAAAAAACATTAAAAATTTTAATTTAATCATGAATTTTTCAAAATTTCCTCCTGCGGCGCAGCGTTTTCGCCTCCGGCGGTAAAAAAGAAAGAAATTTGGCTATTGGCCTCCCAAATTTTTCAAAATTTTCGCCTGTGGCACAAAAAATGGAAGAAATCTGACTTAAGGACCTCCAAAATTCTCAAAATTTTCGCCTGTGGCGCAGGAAATGGATGAAATAGGAGGATTAATGGCTTCAAAGCCTTGCAACGTTTGTTGTGTGGTTTGTTGTGTACCATGTCCCGTGGGACATGTGAGACTGAGAGAGGGTATCCCTCCTAATCTCTTGGTCTCGACTCTCGGTCTCGACTCTCGGTCTCGACCCGGGACTCGGTCTCGGGGTCGATTCCCGGTCTCGGTCTCGACTCTCGGGTTTTTTTAACTCCCGACCATCACTACTGGACAGGAGTATCAGGCTCCAAAACTATTTTGGGGGAAAACTGGGTCTCCTACATAGGTTTACGTGTTTTTATCCGTACAAAATTTAGTCTATAGGTTGAATAAGAAATGAGTTAGTTAACTTCTTGAAACTGTCCTAGCAACTTCTGCTTCATATAAATATAAGAAAAACTTTGGAAGAAATTTTAAACATACGTGGGTTTCGTCTCATTCCATTGAGCTCAAGTAGAGGTAAAACAAAAAAAGCAAAAAATATTTTTGCGAGAAGCATGGACTTGAATTGTAGAAATTTACTTCAGAAAAATTTAAATTTGTTAATTTAAAAAATATATTTTGTTGTAAATCAGTGTAAAATGGATATGAATAAATACACCTACCTATATGTATGTCTTTAAAAGAATTTTGAGTTAGAGAAAAATATAATTTAAAATATAGAGGGAATTTTTTGGCAATATTTTTAAATCTCCTTTATTTCCATGCTATTTTAATATATTTTTCTAAAGAATTTCCAACTCGATTTAGTCGATTAGTGGAAAATCGATTTCGATTAAATTATTGACTTTTTTACTTGATTGAGTTGGATTTTTAATTTAACTAATTTTTTAAATCAACAAAATTAAAAATAAATATCTATTAAAATAGAAAAGGATGTTTGAAACAAGGATTTATGATAAAATTTAACAAATTACTCTCACTATACTCACGATTTTTTCTTCAGACCGTGGTATCAATGATTTAAGATAAAAATTAGACTTAAATTAAAAATGTTTATTTTATATAAATGGTCAAATTTTGTTTTTCTTTGGATAGATGGATAAAGCACAAAATTTAATAGAACACATTAATTAAAACAAGGTTTTTAATAATTTCAAAAAGATTTGCCCTGAAATTTGACATGTTTTAAAAATAGTGTTTCGCAAGGTTCTTGGACGTTCTTAGCGTTGCTTGCTTCGAAAATTTTGAAAACTGACGATAACAGTAAAAATAATTCTAACAATAAGAGAAACATTTTAGTAGAAAAACTTTACTGTTTAAATTCAAAATTTTGCGGTTACTCAAATTTTATATTTGGCATAATGTATTTATTACAAATTGAGTCTGAAAAGAAGTAATAAGAGTCTCTAAGCAAATCTTAACTAGAGAGCGGAATGGGATCGGGACCCGGTTTGCCGGTCCTTTTTCCCGGCTTTTTTGAAGATGTCGGGATTACACAGGGATCGGGAATTCCCTGTTTTCCCGGTTCCGGGTCCCGGGCCGGATTTCTTCTGCTACAATTTCCCGGTTTTTTCAAAATTCCGCTCTCTAATCTTACAATTAACAGTAAAAGAAAAAATTTATGATTTTTGATTTTTTTCTCTTTATTTTTCAGCATATTCTTAATTTTTCTTATTATTAAAATTTAATTTAAAAATGCGATGTCAACCTTTTAGAGGGAAATATCAGCAAGAAAGTATTAAATTAATTAAATTTAATTTATTTTTTTAATTTTTCAGCATTATATCCAAATCCTTCTTCAATATCTCAAAATGGAAAATATACCGCTGGAAGTAGTTTTGTGAGCGATAATATTTATAATTATGGACAGGGAGAGGTTTGTTTATATTTATTTAATTTTGAAATTGGGTACCTTAAAATTTCGGTTTTTAGCCAAAATTTTGGTGAAAAAATTTTTGTAGAATTATCGTTTTCTTTATTTTCTTTTTATATTTTTATGAGACTTGGTTCAGACTAGGATTTGACCCCGAATCCTGAGGGCGCATTTTTCTAGGTGCGTTGGATGATGACTGACAATAAATTGTGAGTGTTATTCTGTCAGTCATCCTCTAACGCACCTCGAAAAACGCGCCCTCAGAATTTGAAGTCAAACCTCAGTTTAGACAGAAGTCAAGTCCTTGAGTTACTCTAACCTTCAAAATTTACAAAATTATTTTTCTTTTGGTTACGGGTTTATTGGTCCCAAAAAATAATCGTTATTTATTTTAAAATAAATCCTCTTGTTTGACATTTTTTGAATATCGAATGTTTGTTGTCAAATTCAATAAGCTCACAATTAGCGTATTTTAAACCCTATTTTAAATGAGAAATTCGAAAAATATTGGGCTATAATAAAATTTTATAAATAAAAAATTCCTATTTAAATTTAATTAATTTAGAAGGATGATGAAAAAATGGACGATGATGATGGTTGGCTTAGTAAAGATACTCAAAATTTAAATAAAAATAAATCAACAAATTCGTCTTCATCTCCATTTAATAATCAAAAGTCGTTGTCACCTACAAGGGATTCCCTTTTAGAAAAATCAAAAAATTTTAATGAAAAGGTTATTTGAATTAAAAATATTTTTTTAAAATTAATTTTTAGATTTTTGAAAATAATTTTGTTGAAGAAAAAGATGACGACACTGACACAGAACCTGGTGAAATTCCAACAGATTTTAACGAAACAAATAAATTAAATAATGGGGAATTAAGTTTTTTTGAAAATGATGGGCCTGATAATCTTGATAAAGACATTATTTGGTTAATTGGAGGAGGAAAAAGAGTTGAAAGTAGCAAAACGGTTGTTGGAAATTATAAAAATGTTAATAAGAATAATCTGGTTGAAAGTGGAATTGAGGTTTTTTTTATTTAATTTTTAAAAATTATTTAAAATCTGGCACCATTTTTCGATATTTTCTTGGGTTTATGCCGCTTATAATGAGAGAACTAAAAGAAGAGAATAAAAAACTAAGAGAACTCCTTACACCAGGGATAGGCCAGGTTAGGGAAAAAGTCGGTTCAGGTTTCGGATTTGTCTTCAAAATCTTCTTAGGATAAGGTTTCGGGACGAAAAAAGTCCTGGTTTCGGATATATCCGGAGTGGCCTACCAACTTTTAAAAATTAAATTGGTACTTTCCTGTTATCGGCCCTCCATTTTTTTCTTCATTTCTCAACCTACTTCTGTACAGAATGGTCAGTTTTTTTTCTTTCTCAAATTCACTCCTTTTCCCGGTGGCAACAAAGAAAAGATAATTTTTTGCAAGAACAGATTAATTTTTTATAAAATTCAAGTTCAAAAAGACAAAACATAAGTTGTAAAAGGGGAAGTTATCCCAATGACGTAGAAAGTTTTCCTGTGAATATGGGAAGTTGTTCTATTCTAACAATGGGGGAACAACTTCGGTTGGAACAACATCCCCGCTCACTTAAGCAACATCTCCATAGTTGGAGAAATAGATAGTTGGAGAAAATAGTTTATAAAAAATTAATCAGTTCAAAAAATAATCATTTCTTTTTTGCCACCGGGGAACGGAGTGAATTTGAGAAAGTAAAAATCTGACCATTTTGTACAGAAGTAGACTGAGAAATAAGGAGGAAAAATGGAGGGCCGATAACAGGAAAGTACCATTAAATTTATGTGTATCCAATTTTGGAGGTAAAATCTCCCTTTTTTTAAGGAACATGAAAGGATGGAAGAGGTTGATAGTTGGTTTAGTAAAGATTGTCAAAATAAATCTCAAACATTAGAAGAAAATTTAAATTCTCAAAATATTGGTAAAAAACAAATTGAGGAAAAGGTTTTTTTATTTTTTTAAATAAAATAATTTTTATTTGAAGGAAAAGCAAAAAGAAATTATTTTATTAGATGATAAAGAAGAAGAGGAAAGTGTTGAATTAATTAGTAATGATGGGACAGAACCCGCGGATATTTTAATTTTAAATAATTTTATTGAAGAAATTGATAATTCTGTTGGAAATGGTCAAAAGGTTTTTTTAGATTTTTTAAGAAAACTCTTTGAGAGGGGATGAGGTCATGTGTATAATTTATTTTTTATTGGGTAACTTTGTTTAGAAAATAAGAATTTTTATAGCGCTGCTAGTAGAAAATTTTTGTTTTAATTATCCTCATTTGGGGTTGTCGGTTCTGGACCGAACCAAGGATTTTCTGGTTCGGTTCCAGATATCCGAAGATTTTCCAAGATTCGACAACCCTACTCTCATTCTTTGTTTTTTTCTGAATTTTTCGGTAGGGCGATGGCCGTAGCTCTATTTTATCTATCTTTTTTAAGGAACATGAAAGAATGGAAGAAAGTGATGGTTGGTTCAATAAAGAAGATTATCAAAATAAATCTCAGACATTAGAGGATAACTTAAATTCTAAAAATATTGAAGAACATCCAAAACAAGTCGAAGAAAAAGAAATTAATGAAAAGGTTTTTTTAATTTTTTAAATATTTTTAAAAATTTATTTTGAAAGGAAGACGAAATAATGGAAGAAGGAGAAGATGATGGATGGCTTAGCAAAGATAATGGTCAAAGTTTGGCAGGAAAGTCGAAAACATTAATTGAAGAAGAAAATACTTCAAAATCAATTGAAAATCCATTTTCGCCTTTAAAGAATTTTATTCAACAAAAGGTCTTTGAACAACAAGAACAATCACAAAAAACAAAGAAATTAATTGAAGATTCTGATTTTTTAAGTATTGAAAAGCCAATGTCTCCTTTAAAGAATTTTATTATTCAACAAGAAGAACAGACAAAAATTAATGAAAAGGTTTATTAATTAGATGTTGTTGACGATCGGTTTTAGCACGAAGATTTTGATATTTTTTGCTAGAAATTAAACCGTTTTTAAAAAATTTTAAAAACCGAAAATTTTTGAAAATGAGTGTCGTTTAGAATTCCTCAAAAATAAAATTGATATTTAACTGAAAATCGAAAAGCGGGGCTACCGTTAATACTTGTGTTTATGCCCAACTCTAATGTATGTTTAAATTAGAGTTGTTGGCGACCGGTTATTATTTTTAGTCAAATACCGGTTTTATTTTGGGGGAATTTTTAATAAAATCACTCATTTTCACAAATTTCGGGTTTTTAAAATTTTGTAAAAACGGTTAATTTTTGGCAAAAAAAATTCAAAAATTCAGGTTTTAAAACCGGTCGCCAACAACAATTTAAATATTTAAAAAAAAAATTTTTTAAGATTAATGAAATTCCAATTTTAAATAATAATGACGAAAATAAAGATGATGACGATGTTTTAACTGAACCAGGAGAGATTCCTCCCTCAGATTGTGAAACTGAGCCTGGTGAAATACCTCCATCAGATAATGAGTCTTTTGGTAGTACTGAACCTGGAGAACTTCCACTATCAGATTTTGAAGAGGAGGAAGAAAAAATAAATAATTTTAATTTAAATAATGACTGGATAATTGAAAAAGATGAAAGGAGGGAAAATAATACAAAATGTTCTGAGACGGTTATAATTATTCGAATGGGGATTTTATAGAAGGTATTTAATTATGTGACAGGAAATATTTTTAGAAAAAAAAAGTTTTTAGAGAAGAATTTTTAAAAAAAATATTTTTTTAATTTAAAATTTATTCTTCTCTGAATTAAAAAAACTTTTAAATTTTTATTTATTCAATTTAAATATTCCTCAAGTACTGTTGAGTGTCCTAATAGAAGCACATCTCAAATAGAACCCCATACCTTATTAGAAGTCCACTCAATTAGACCCGTTGAAAAATATAGAAGTCCATGCCTTATTCAATGAGATCTATTGAAATATACATATAAGCCCAGCGCTTCTTTTAGGACATTTACGGTTTATTTTGTGTGTTTTTCTTTTATATTCGCATAAACATAAATATTTCTGATAATTTAATTTTTGTTTAAATTTAGGGGGTTATTCACGATTAGTTAATTGTGGTCTGTGACAGCTGAAATGTCCAAAAAACTTATTTGAAACGTCACAAGATAAAATTAACCTGCCATAAACTCCCCCAATTGTTTAAATTATTTTTTAAACAGATATTGTAAATTATGAAGGGTTTTTCTGTAAAAACCCCCTTTAAAAAGAAATCTAAACTCATAAACTAGCCCCCCCCCCAATCATTCTAAAATTAAAAATAGTACAAAATAATTTTTATTTTTAATAGCTCGAGTAAAAAAAAGTTTTTTAATTAAAAAATCAGTTGAGCAAAACAAAATTAATACATAGATATTTTAAAACAATTTTTGGAAAATTATTTAGGAACAATTAAACATAAAGATATGAGGGAAATTGAGTTATTTAATATTCAAGAAAATATATAGTTAATCTTTTATGATTTAACTGGACATAGAATTGAGAAGGTGACTGACCAGAAAATTAATTTTAAAGAGGAAATTTTAAAAGAAATGAGCATTTAAAAAATATTTTTTTGTGTATAATTTTAACAACAAAAAAGAATTTTCAAAAAAAATTTTTTTAACAAAGAAAAAATTAATTAATTAAATAATATATATTAATTAACCACACAAAAACAACTTTAAAATAAAAAACAAAAAAAAACAAATAGAATATATATATACGACTAGTTTGAAAATGAAGGTGAAGATAATAGTCGTAGTTTATTATTATTATTATTTTCAGCCAATTTATTCAATCCTTCCCCTCCAATTTTTCCTTCCCCTCCTCCTCCACAATTCCCTCCTTCTCCTCCCCCTCCATATTTTTTTCTTCTTCTTTTTTGTTTATTTTCTCCATTTTCTTCTTCTTTTTTAACTTCAATTTGTTTTCCATTTATTATATGGGGATTATTTTCCAAACAAAATTTTGTTGAAGAACTTTCTTCAAAAACAATAAAACCACAACCTTTTGGATATCCAAGTATTTCTACTTGCTCCAGTTCACCAAAACGTTCAAAATAAAGGCGAAGGTCTTCAACAGTGTGGAAATCCCAAAGAATACCTTTAAATTATTTAATGGATTTTTTTTGGGTATTTTTGATATTTTTGCCTTATTTTTGGTGAAGGTTTTAATTTAGTGAAAATTTTTGTAATTTTCCATTTTACAATTTATTTAACAAAATAAAGGTTTTTTGTCAAATAAAAATTAAATAAAATTTTTTGGTAAAATTTCCGATCAAAAATTTGTTGTAATTTTTATCCGAAGCCCTTATTTCTGTTAAATAAATTATTAAATAGAAATTACAAAAATTTTATGAATCAGAATTTTTCTCTGTAAAATAAGGCAAAAAGGCATAAAAAATAAAATAACTAAAAACCTGAGAGCATTAATTTACACTCCAAATCAGGTTCAGAATCCAAAAATGTGGGAGGGCAAAGAGCCGCCTGAAGCATTTGTTCACGAGGAATTGCTCTTTTTGGATCGACAATCTGTTTTGAATAAAAAAATTTTTTAAGTTTTTGGAAAATTTAAAAATCCAAAAATTATGGAAGGTTTTTCGTATTTTCTCTAATTTTTAAAAAACCTGCCTTCCCCCCAATTGTGTGAGGTCGTTCAGCCATCGCTGCATCAGCCATTTCTTTAAAATTAATTTTGGCACTACTGAAGAAAAGGGTGCTTTTTCTGCGGACTTTTTTTGCGGACTTTTCCTTTCTTTTAAATGTTTTACTTGTAGCAACTAACTGTCAAAGGTCCTCCCCCCTATTATTTTTCTTACCTAAGATTGTACATAAAGGTCAGATTTTCTTCTTCCTCTCCTTCCTCTATTTGCTCTGTGGCATATTCAAACAAGTGACATTGATAAAGAGAAGATTAATTTTATACATAGTCATACACTTATTTTTTGCCTTCGAAAACAATTTAAACCAAAAAAGAATTAAATATAATTGATTTGGTGTATAACATTATGAATTTCTGTGTAAAAACATTACATTCTTACTTATATTTAAAAATATTGAACAACTGAAAAAATAAAATGAACTCAATATTGAACAACTCAATTAATCTTCTCTTTATCAACAATGTCTCTTGTTTGAATATGCCAAGCTTAAATAGAGGAAAGAGAGGAAGGAGGAAATCTGACCATTTTGTACAATCTTAGGTAATAAAAATAATGGGGAGGGGACAAGGTTTGAAATTACCCGCATTTCTGTCCACAATCACATATTCTTTTTCTATGAAGCATTCCGAGATCAGTGATCCATTGTTGAAATTCATCATCGGGTAATTGAAAATATAGTTAAAGTCAATTTTAACGTTTATAATGTTCAAATTAATGGTGAACACATATTTTTCAAATTGGCATAAAAATTAATCCTTTGACAGTTTAGTTGCTACAAGCAAAACTCGCTACAAGCAAAAGAACCAAAACATTAAAAAAGAAAGAAAGGAAAAGTCCGCAAAATAAGTCCGCAGAAAAAGCACCCTTTTCTTCAGTAGTACCTTAATTTTTAAAAAAATTAAAATTAATTTAAATTCCAAACCTGCCAATGCAAAAGTAACAAAACCAAATCCTCTCGAATGCCTGGAGACTGGATCCCTTAAAAATTTTTAATCAAAACTTTCTTTAACCATTTTCTAACCTTATTACGATGCAATCCACAACTTGCCCCCATTTTGAATAGTAGTCACATAACTGAAAAAATTTTTTTTAGAAATTATTTTTCTGCAACATTTTTGCGGACATTTTTTGCGGACAAATATTTCTCACTAATTTTTTCGAATAAAATTTTAACCAAAAACAACTTAATTCCTTTTATTCAAAAAATTCAAAACACAAACTTGGTCATCTGTCGTTTCGTGGTTTAAACCGCCAATGAACAATTTTCGGTGTTGTGAAGGTTGTGGTGGTGTAGTTGTTGGCTGTGGAGAAAATAGAGGAATAACACGTAATGGTGTAAGAATGGGACAAAGAGAAAGGACTGGAGGCATCGATCTTAAGAAACCTTTAAAAAAAAGAAAAAAATTATAGAAATTTTAAAAATTAAAAAAATATTAGGTACAAGGTGAAAAAAAGAAAATCTTCAAATTTGGAGAAAAAACAAGGTAAAGATAAGATGAAGTAATTGGCTGTGGAAAATGAATTAGTTGGCATTGATTTAAAAACAATTATTTTTTAATTTAGATATAGAGAAGGAATATGTATAGGAAAGGAAGTAATTAATAAGAGATTTAAATAGGGACTGGAAAAAAATTTTTTTAATCTTTTATAGTAATTAGTAGGGATCGGATTTATATTGAAATAAAATCGGAAAATATGGCCATAAAATATTGAAATAAAATGGCAAAATATTGACAAAAAATGGCAGAAATAAGCGAAATATTGAAATAAATCATCGTTTATTCACTAGCAAAACCCCAAAAAAAAGTTGAAATTTAACAAAAAAATTTATCTCATTCTTAAAATTGCACATCAGCTTTATAGTTCGACACGAAATGAGTATTTTTACACTCTCAGACATTTTGAGATTGGCAAAGTATGTTGTTACCTTTTGGGTTTTGCTCAATATGTCATTTTGAGGGTTTTGATCAGTGGGACATTTGAAGGCGGAACAACAATTTGGGACGGCCTTTATGGGGATTTTTGTTCAGTTACTTATTCCGAGTTTTTGTTAATTGAGAAATTTGGGGGAGGGCGACTTTCAAATAAGGGCTGGTCGCCATTCCATCGTATAATTATCGGAAGTCAACGGCACTGTAGTGAATAATAGTACATAATATCACTTTTTCAGCGCCGCAGGCGAAAATTTTGAGAATTTTGGTTGTCAGGCGGCTAGATTTCATCTATTTTTCTTAAAATTAATGAAAAAACCGCAAAATTTTAGTAAAAATATGCAAAAATATTGAAATAATTTGAAAAAAGTACTAAATATTGAAATAATAAGGAAATTGGTAAAATATTGAAATATATTGAAATGTAACTTCGTTCAAAATCACAATATCGCAAAACTAATGGCATATTTGGGCTTTTCTCAACATAATATATTCAGGAAAAAAAAATATATTTCAATACAAATCCGATCCCTAGTAATTAGTTGCCCTATTAATTAAATTAATTTATTAATTCTCTTTAAAAATTATTAAAATAAAAAACAAAAAAAATAAAAGAAAAATAAAAATTTTGTAAATAAAATGTAAATATAGCAAGTATTTTTATATCAAAAATTTTTAACAAAAAAAACGGAAATAATTAAAAATCCATGAGTTTAACTACAAAAATAAATACACAATTTTTATTTTATTTTATTTAATAAAAAATTTAAATATTTATTTTACAACAAAAAATAAAATTTTCTTCCCCGAAAAACATTCAAAAATTTCCCAAAAATAATTTGTTTGATGTACTTTCCTAAAAATATTTTTCGGAGTTTTTTAAGGAAAGAATTAAAGAATAAACGTGGAAGACCAAAGTGCATTATTGCAAAATTGGCTAGAAAAAAGTTTAAAATAAGCGTGGACAAAAATAAAAACAGAATTTTGTGTTAATCTCTGATTTAAAAAAATAAAAATAAATTGTATATACATATGACGAGAAAAGAGCAAGATTTTTTATACTAAAATTGGAAAGAATTGATGAGGGGAAAAGAATGAAAAAAAAGGAGGGGAAAGAATGGAATGATTATATTTGTATTTACTTTTATATACCCCCCAAATATATCAATATTTAAAAATATTGAATAAAATAAAATAAATTTTATCAAATAAATGCTAAACCATTTTTAATTTTAAATAAATGCAAATTTAAATGTTGCAAAAATTAATATTAAATAATTTTTACAATAAAATTGTGCTGCTGAGATAATTTAAAAAAAAGTAAATAATGAAACAAAAAAGAGAAGGGAAAAATAAAAACAAAAAATAACAGCTGCAGTCAAAACTCTGTAAACAAAAATTATTGTAAACAAGCAAAAGTGCAGATTTAAGTGATTTATTAATTTTGGATAAAATTTCTGAAATTGACAAAATGCCAATGGAAATTAAAAAATTTTAAAATATCGCTCGACATTTTTCAATCGAATTTAGGATTTACCTAAATACTAGAGATCGAGCTGGGTCTGGACCAAGGCCTGGGTTTTTCCTGTACCCAGAGTCCAGGCCCAGACATTTTTTGACCTTCCTGGGCCTTTTTCCTGGACTACAGGCCCAGGATCTGGCCCAGGTCAATAAATCAAACAAGAGTGCAGGAACAGGCCCAGGCTTTTCAAAAATATCTACTAAATACCTCCAAAATTAGATACTATACTATTAAACTATTTAAGTTACTTGGTGGTTGACTATTGGATAGGGGAGCTGCTTAAGCAACATCCTTAATATGTTTAAGTTACCTCTAATATTAAATATAAATTTTAAGCGTTAAGGGTAAATTGAAAAACGGACCGACTGTTAAATAAAAACAAATATGTACTAAGAAATCGAAAATTAGTTTATTTTTACAAAAATAAACAAAAAATTCTTCCAAAAATTTTTTAAATTTAAAATTGGAAATTTTAAAAATTGGAAGTTTTGACTGCAGCTGTTATTCAAAATCAACAAAAAACGAATTTTGGAAATAAAATTTTAAATTAACAGAAAAATTTTTGCTTCAATGATTTGCTGAATACACATCACATAAATATTCAAAAAAACTATTCTCACAATTTTTCTACCTCACTCAAAAATGCAATAGAGGAAATCATTAGTTAGTGTTTCCATTATTTAGTAGAAAAAAGTGCAGAGGATTATCTTTTAGAAAATAAAAATGAGGGGAAAAAATCAACGAAAAACGACCAAACATTTTTACTAATTGTTTAACTAAAAACTAGTTAAAATAACGTTTCTTTAAAGAACGCAAGTTTGTTTTCTTCTCAAGTTTTGCTCAAAACTTGAGGAGAAAAAAATTATTTTCTCAACTAAAATAAACAATGCTTAGATTTGTTAAGGGAGAAATAATCTTGCAGTTAGTTAGTGACAGTCGATCCTTTTCTCAACAAATGATTGGACCACACTGACATGATGGAAGTAAAAGGAAAAGTTTGTGGAAAACATTAAAAACTTCCTTCCATCTTTTCTTTCTGGGTGCACCCAAGTAGGCGCGGACATAACGGCGCAAAGCCATAACTTGCTTCTAGATTTCCGAATTTTTCCAAATTTAGTATTAAACGATTCCTCTCATCGAGTTAAAGAGATTGGTACCAAAATTGATAAAGGCCAGAAATTTTCCAACAAGTTATGGCCTTGCGCCCTTATGGCCTTGCGCCGTTTTGGGTCTCTTTTCCCCTATAGCTCAAGTAAACCTTTTAGGCTTATTAGAGTCCTCCTAGATAAACTCAAAAGAAGAAAGTCAATTCTTTGTTTAGCACACTTCTCTGTGAAGAGTTTAAAAAGGGCTCTGTTTGCTTCTGACAAGTAAAAACAAATCAACCCTGCTGCAGTCACTTACATTTTCCACCCACATTTTAAATACTTTTTCTAAAAGCAAATGCTTCAAAGGCGAGGAATGTTAATTGTAAAGATGATTTGTTTAGAGTAGAAAAGAGTAGAAGACTTTTCAAAATAAAATCGACCCATTTGTAAATAAGGAAGAAAATGTTTACTTTTAGGATAATTGAGTTTAAAATGGAATTAAAAATTTTAAAAATCGAAGGAATTTCCGTTTACACGATAAAATAATGAGGAGCTAAAGGAAGAAAGAAAAGCTGACCCCCCCCCCAACTTGTAGTAGTCGAGCTTTTGAATGAGATAAAATTCACGTGATGAGTTCAAAACTAAACGTTGACATTATCAACAATTAACACTCAAACACAGGAGAAGAGTTGGCACTCAACCAGTCATTATTATTGGCACCAAACTGACTGAATTAAAAAAACGAAAATGGGGGACTATTGAGTCCCGCCGTTTTCCAACTTTTTTTGCTATTTCTAAACAACCCGCATTTTTGATTATTTTACCCGGTTTTAGTCAGCTTGTATAAATTTTAATTGTAATCTTTCAGAAAAGCAGATATATTTTAATTTTCTCTAATAATTTTTCTTTTCGAATGGTTAGGCCGAAGAATGCAATTTCACCAACAAAGGAAGGAGAAATTAAAGAAAAAGTTGAAGCCATTAAAAAACAATGTTTATTTTTTTAAATTAAATTCTAAAATTATTTCAATTTTAGTTGCTAAGGATATTATAGAACTCGAAATGGCAAAACGCGAATATTCTACAGCATTCGTGACTGCTATGAAAGCTGAATTTTCAAAAATCATTCCAAAGGTTTTTTTTGTTTTACACATATTTTTTACCTTAATTTTCATTTGAAGGAAATTTTGGACATGAAACTGGTTGACTATATTAAAATGATGGAAGAAGAACACAATGTTGATGAGACTTATGTAATCGAGGGAGGGCCATCATCTAGTTCCGAAACCTTTAAACATCCTGGAAAATACAAATCTATAAACGTTGCTGGAGGAATGCACATGAAAGTACCTCCCTGTATAACTCCGAGAGTTCAAGGGTTTCTCTAAATTTAATTTTATATTGCAAATTTATTTTTAAAGGTTTGGACAGCCGCGAGCTTCTAAATTTGGTGAACTTTTGTTTTCTGTCAGAGGAACTCCGGTATTGACTACAGGGACTTCTATGAGTATGTTGGAAGCAAAGAAGCGAGAGGCTGTTGTTCAGAGCGTTAGTTTGAAATTTTAAGATTTTCTTGGGTATTTGTGGATTATTTATCTAGGTTATTACTAGGGTTGCAGCTCGCTCGAAACGAAAATCGAAAGATAGAGCGAGCCCAGGCTTTTCAGCTCGAAAACTAACCGAATTGAAAAAAAAACCATGCTTGAAAAAATGCACCGAACGTCGGCTCGAAACGGCAACCCTAGTTATTACTTGTGGGGTATCCCAAACCAGTCTCCATTCAATTTATTTGAGGAAGTGATATCTGATCATTATGAGTCCGCATAAATATGCCTGCAAAACTGGTTTGGGATAACCCACACGTTCCTTTTCTTTCAGTTGTTACAACAAGAAGATTCTATGCTTACACCGGAGACTCGAAAAGTTATTGGAAAACTCAAAGAACTTGTTAATAAGCGGGAGGAGCAACTTCCACGTCCAACTCAATTACATCGCAAGAAAATTTTGGCAAAAGAAAATGAGAAGGAAAATGAAGAATAATTTAAGAATGTGTTTTGAATTTATTTTTTGACGAGTAATTCTTTTAAATATTTCACTTGAAATCATTTTTTGATTATACAAATTGATGAATAAATCTCTTGTAAAAATTTCTCTTTTTTTTACTCATTTGTTATTGAATTTTTTATTTTTCAAATCTCTTAAAAATATTTTGCGTTTTTTGGATCAATTTTTAGTTTTATAATGTCGACTGAATCCGGTCATTATGTGGACGTTGGGAATCTTTTAATAATTAATAAAGACCCTATTGAGTTTAAAATTGATGATAATGATCAATTAAATATTTTGACACAAAAATCAACTCAATATTTATTTGACAAAATTTGGGATTTGCCAAGAAAAGTTGTTCAGGATGCTACGTGTGCTGTGGTTCGTTAAATAAATCTTTTAAAATTTTTTTGTGAGAATTAAAATTTACTTTTTCGTATCCTCCGTCTCTTAAAATAAATAGAAATAAGCTCTCTGAAAAACTATGGGAATATGTAGCCAAATGATTTTCGAAAATCTCTTTTCAAAAATATGACTAGTCTTCGGTTTGAATTTTTTGTAATTAGGGAGAGTAGTAGAATTTTATTAAGTACTCAAACTTGCATTTCACTTAAAATTCATTCAAAAATATTTTCTTTGTTTCAAATAAAAATTTACAAAAAAATTTCTAGCTTCCATCAACAGAATATTCTTTGCCAAGAGAAAAACCCGTAAGTTTGTTATCAAAAAAAATCAATTTTAACCAATTTTTTAAAAGATTCCGAAACCAAAAGAACCAACAAAATGGGAAAAGTTTGCAAAAGAGAAGGGAATTGTTAGTAAAAAGAAGCGAAGCAAAAAAATTTGGGATGAAACTACAAAAGAATGGAAGCCTAGATATGGATATAAAAGGGCTTTAAAAGAAGGAAATGAAACGAAGGATTGGCTGATTGAAATACCTGATAAAGCTGGTTTGTTTAGTTTAAAATAATTTTTAAACAAAATTTGGGATTTTTAATTAATTTTGAGTTGTTATTTCGGGGGGTGGCCAAAAAAATTTTTGGGAGATAGGCTGATAAAAAATTGTTGGACAAAAATTAAGAACAATTTTTAGAATTAATTTTCAAATTACCAAAAGTCGGAAAGATTTTTGGCACTGCGGGCGAAGAATTTGCATTCTTTGGTCATCTGCCCCTATTAATCTTTTATTCTTTTCACCATTTCTGAGGCGCTGTTTTTTCAAATATTTTAGTTATTTTCCTCTTGAGAGTTTTCTAGCTCCACAGCCTTGAAAAACTTTAAAAATGTCTTTCCTAATTTAATTATTTCAGATCCATATAAAGATTATTTTGCTGAACGTTCAAATAATAAAAAAGAACAGGCGAATAAACAAGAATTTCAAAGACTCAAAAATATTGCCAGAAATGAAAAGAATTCTCAACTTTCTTCAAAACCTTTATTTAATTCTAAAAAAATGAAAATTAATGGAAATTTGGAACCCTTGGGTTCTAGACAGCCTATTGGGTTGGGTTCTGTTGAAGAAAAATCTAAAGAACAGGTTTTTCTAATTAGATAATTTTTTGAGTAGAAAAGTGAAAATTCAATTTTATTTTTTATCATCTTTTTATTATAGATGATTAAGAAAATTTTTTTCCGAAAAAATATATTCTGATTAGAGATAAAAAAATGTAAAAAAAAGTCAGTCGACTTCGAAGTATTCGAAAATTATTCGATCGAATATTCGATTTGTCTAATTCTAATGGCTTTAAAGTCATAAAACGGGAGATCTTATTTTTAAATAAATTTTTCAATGAAAACTTTGGGTTAAGTAGAGATTGAATCGAGACAAGTTCTCATTCAATTAAGCATTATTTTATTCAAAAGAAAATTTAATCTTCAACATTTTTTAGCTCATTCATCAATTAAATCGAGCAAAGAAGTCTACTTCTTCGGCAGGAAAATTTCAAAAGAATTTAAAAGGAGAAAAGCCACCAAAGATGGGAATTAAAAGAAAGGTTTTCTTTTTGTATTTTAAAAATAATTTTTTAGTTTGAACCAAACGACGATTTGTCTAATGAACGTAATCGTCAATTGGAAATTTTAAATAAATTAAAACAAAAACCAAAAGAAAAAGAAAATATTTTGGGAGGAATAAATAAACAAATAAATAAAAAATCTGAAGAATTTAATAAAGAAGATAAAGGAGGAAAGAAAGGAAAATTTGGAAATAAACGTTCAAAATCTTCAATTGACCGACAACAACATTTTGAAAAGAAGAGGAAAAACTTTAAAGGAAATTTTAAAAGTAAATATTCGAAAGCTGGTAAAGCTGCACAGAGAAAGGGTGGGCAAAGGAAAAATTAAATATTTAGAGAAAATATTTTGCTTGTTAAAAATTGTTTTTAAAGGAAATTGGAAATTAAAATATTAATTATTTTTAATTATTTTTTGTATACTTTTATTCTTCTACGGCTAGAATTGTTGTTTCAGAAATGACCGGAGGTCCGAGGATTTTTCGGTTCCGGATCAAAAATCTGTGCATGTTTGACCAAGAAATCCTCTGATATCCCTTCATATCCTCTGACATCCTCCTTGATCCCTCTAGATTCCCTTATCTCCGATTTAGGGGTTAGGAAAAGTTTAGAGGGATTTGTAGGGATTAAGGGTATATTAATTAAAAGATGGTGAAACCATATAAAATTAAAATTCAATTTTATCAAAAAATTCACTTAAAAATTTTTGAACACTTTTTGTAAAATTTAGTCAATAATTTGAAGTTAAAAAATTATATAATCACGAGAAAATTAAATAAATTTTGCATGATTAAAGTGATAAAAAATAGCAGAGGGACGTAGGAATGGATATATGAGACATTTTGTAGTTTTTATTAAAATATTTTAATTAATCAACAGAATTTCCTACCCGATATGTTTTGACTATATAGAAATAATAAAAGAAATAATATACATATGTGAGCTGTAAAGAACAATTATAGTCAAAAAATGATTAGATTAAAAGCAGACCTGCTCACGGATACTGATTTTAGTATCCGGATATTTACGGCGGATATCCGCAGGCATCTTGATATTATCTGTATTCATATCCGTGTCCATGAGCAGGCCTGATTAAAAGAAAAAAAAAGATTCTAACAATAAGAAAGATTCCAAAAATGCTAAAAAAAATTCAAAAATTTTTTCGTTTTTTCAACCTTTTTTAGTTTTTGGTTAATAATTTAAAGAATTTCGGCATTCATTGTCGATTTTTAAAATATATTATGAGAAAATATAGAAAATATTTCAATAGGACATCTACTAGAAATTAATTGAGGGATAGTAAAGAGTAAGTAGTAGTTTATACCAAGTTTAAAGCTAGCAAAGTTTTTTTTGAATATTTTAGAAATAGATTTTCGGTTTCTAGCCAAACAAGTTTTATTATGGGGAGAATTTTCCAATTTTGGGTTTTTTTATTCTTTTACCAAAATAATCAAAAAAAACTTTCGGTTTAAAATTGGTTATAAACTATCCCAGGATATAGAGAATATCTAATAAGATTGCACAAAGAAAATATTTTTAATTTAAAGAGAATGTTCAAGAAAAATAAGGAAAAGGAATATCAATTAATTTAGATAGCTCATTAAATTTTTTTAAAAATTAAAAAAAATTCCGGATTTTGAATAAAAAGTATTTTAAAAATAACCAAAAATCTCAAAAAAAGATTTTTTCTATCCAAAATCCGGAAATAATTAATTAGTAAATTAATATAAATTTAATATATACTTGGTTAATATCCGTTTGATTTTCTACAGACGTCTTTACTAGAAAAAACACGAAGGATTTTGAGTAGAGAACCGGGGGCAATGAAGAAAAAAGAGAAACACTTTCAGACCTTAAAAAGACTAAAATTAGGATCAAAAAATTAAAAATACAAACTTTTAAAGTGGAAGAAGTGGTTGGGCTGGTTCACTATTCGGGGCATTTAATGTCGATGAAGATTGGAAAAACACTTCTTCATCACTGCTTGTACCAATTGCTGGGCCCGAAGAACTTGCACCGCCCCCACCAACATCTCCAGTAATAGATGAAGATGGAACACCGTCATGGTTCATTGCTTTGAAGGCTATATGCCGTAACTTTTTGTTATTTTCCAATTTTTCCTAGAAAATAAAAAAAAGATGTGATTATTTAGAAAAGAGATGGTAAAACTCCAACCAAAGCTTGTCGCTCTAAAATACTGAAACTTTGATCAGCTATAACTTTTCGATTTGTGGGTCAGTGGGAAAAAGAAAAAATGGCCAATAGGTATTCAATCCTGCTCTACACGATGGTGCAAAAATTTTTCGAAATTTCTACATACAGTTCGGGATGTTCCCTTGTAAATATTTTTAAAAATTGTAAAACAAACAAGGAATCCCTTAAGAAGGATTTAATTAAGGAAAGAGATATAAATAAGAAAAATGTTAATGCACAATTATAACCAAACTTATAATTCGAAAATAAAGATCGGACTAATACGAGATCTCTCATAGAACTCTAGGGTATCGAAATCGATATTTTTCTGAGCTTCTCCCAGCCCGATCCCCAATAATAACTGTTTAAACAAACGTTGACTCCTTTACAATTAATCTTAAAAAGCTAAAATAAACTCAAAAGAAACCTGTTTTGTAAATTTCCGCACAAAGAAAGGCCTTATAAAATTATCATTTAATGCTGTAAAAAAGTTTTTCCTTTCAGGCATTACTGATGATTTTGGTCGTTTATTTTCATTATCACATCCATTTTCAATTTCATCAGTAAATTGTTCAGAGTCAAAAATAACCTTAAAATATATTTTTTGAAATAATTTTATAATTCTTAAAAAACCATTTCTTGTGTTTTGCTTAAAATAACTGGAGAATTATGTCGAGGTTTTGTACCAATTGAAGGTGAAGATGTTCCTGCAACACCTGTGACTGAGCCATTAACGCCATTTGTTTTAGTAGCACGTGCCCTTCTACGACGACGTTGTTGTTTGAATATTTTTGGTTCATCAGGAAATATATCAGTAAGAATCTTTTAAAAAAAAAATTTTGAGAAAGAGAATTTTAATAAAGTTTAAAAAATAAATAAAAATGTTAACAAGAAAAAGAAGTGGACTTATTTTAGCATTTAAGATTCTCCAAAAAAAATAAATACGAGAAACTAGATATCCCAATTCTAAAATTTTTAATTCCAGAAACTATGTGAGGAAAAAAGAAATCGGATTATTTAACAAAATTTTCAACTAAAGTCCGCCTTAACTTTAAACATCCCTTGGCTAGTAGCTACAGCCTGGAGGAGCTGCCTAAACGATACAACTTTTTTAAAGATAACTTCAATGTAAGATATCAAGGAGGTATCTAAAAAAAAGGTTAAACAGTATCTTGATTCATTTGACAAAAATTAATATATATACACTTATTGTAGAACCATAAAAAATAAATAAAAACCTTAATTAACGGAAGCGCAGAACCACCCATAAAAACAATTGTGAAAAGTCTAAAAAATATTTAAAATTATTTGAAAAAAAATCCTTAAATTATACATTATAAACAATGTAGATGTCAAAATAACTTTTTTAGTTTCTGGAGTTTCTACATCCATATGGAGTGCCAAAGCTAATGCAACAGCTCCACGCATACCTTTTAAAAAGAATTAAATTTAAATTTATTTACAAAAAATTTACCGCTAAACCACATTATTATTTGATTTTTCATAGAAATTTTTGTTTTGCTAAATCGATTAACTAAACTACTTAATGGGAAAACACTTGCTGCTCGACTTACAAAAAGTAATGCCTGAATAAAAATTATTTTAAATACAAATAATTAAATACTTACAATACTTAAAATTAAAAACATTGGATGAAAAACAAGTTCAAATGTAAATAAAGCTAAGCCGAGATAAGCAAATGTACATGTTTCTTTAAAAAATTAATATAGTAAATAATAAAAATTATTTTATGACTCAAAAAAACCAAAAGTTTAAACTAGAGGTCTAAATGATACAATACTTGACAAAACATCGGACGATAAATATTATTTTAAAATAATGATCGAAATTTTCTTTTTAAAAGTTAGCTTAAATTCAGCAATGTAAGCCTAACTTTTACTAAAACTAATAAAATTACTGTCAAACCCCATTTTTAGATAAACACAAATTGGATATTCAATTTAAAATAACTTTTTTTTTGATTTGGTCAGCCGCAGCGTGAAGGCTTAAGCGAATTTATAGCGATTTTTAGCCTCAAATGGATATCCAAGGTTAGGTCCGCCAATATTTTGTTTGATATAGTAAAAAGATAGGACATTGTCAACTCCCAATAAGATAGAAAGAAGATGAAGAAAGATTGGGAAGGAAAGTAAATATCAGATAAAGGATTTCAAATTATAAAAAAATTTTCCATTAAAATAAAATTAACCTGCAACAAAAGAGATTGTTCTAAATGTTTGTTGAAAAGTTATTTGTGTAATTGGTGATATATTTAAATGAGTGTATTGACTCATAATTATCGCACAAAATAGAATAGCCATTATACCTAAATTAAAAATTTTCTTAATTAGAAAAATTATTTAAAAAACCAGAAAGCGAAATTGATTCGGCAAAACCATACGGAAGATAAGCGAACATTAAAAGTAATGCCAATTCTAGAGAAGGTGTACGTCGCAAATCGATATGTTTGAATAACTAAATAAATTAAACAATAAAAGATTTTTAAAAAAAGTCGAAATATTTTAGGAGAAAAAAATTCTATAAAAAGTCAGAAAATTATTCTATTAAAAGAAAAATAATTTTCCGAACTTGATGGATTCATCTAGCAACTTTAGAAAAAAACGACGGGGGTTTAGATTTATAGGAGAGAAAAGAGAAAACAGCTCAAATTCGTAATAACAAAGCAAACTCAAACAAAATCAGCAAGGTTAAAGGTTTGATTCCTGCACGATATTTAAACTTATTTGATAGGCGTTCAAGGTTATAAACGGATCCTAAACAATTAAAAACAAACCAAAGCAGAAACAAGCCCAATAGCTGCACCTAGCGCTGCCGATGCAAAAAACATGATCAAGAAACGATCAAAAGCAAATTTTAGAGTTGCTAAAGAACTCATTTGTGCAATAGTTGGGGAAGAAAGTTCTTGGGCTGTTGTAGCCAATACAATAGCAACAGCATCTATAAAAATTTTTTTTGAAAAATCAACAAAATTAACATACCATTAAGCATAGATTCACCAAAAGCGAGCATATAAAGTTGAACTTCTACCTAATAATTTTTCGTATTTCCGAAAAAAAAATGAAAAATAAACCTTGAGAGCCTGAAATATTGCAAGAGTAATGACTGGATCAACGGCAGAAATCATCGAACCAAAAGCAAAGCTTTCTACAGCATTTAAACTATAAGCAATTCCAAGCTAGAAAAATTTCTTTAAAATTTTTAAAAAATTTTTAGAAAAAACCTGTCCAAATATATAAAGAAAAAATCCCATAATAAAAGAAGAAATTGCTGTGCCAACGACCGAGAATAAAAGAATTGGAACAATATTTGCAAAAAAGTTGCCCTTGTGAAGATTATATCCGCTTTCAAAAATAATTGGAGGAAGAAGAACCAAAAAGAAAATTGAAGGATTAAATTGCTCTACTTCACTCCAATCCCAACGAGTTTGAGAAAGAATGAAGCCTATTAGACCGCCTAAATTATAAGAAAAAATTTTATTAGTGAATTTTTTAGAAAATTTGTTTATCAAATTAATAAATTGAAAGAAACCTTTAAATTTTTTTTAGATTTTGTCTCGTATTGAATTTATTTGGATTTAACCCAATGCAATAAAAAAGAAAACTTATGGACCCTATCTCAAACGAAGGGCGGAATCGTTTTTTTTCATTTGCTGCAAGGAAAGAAAAATGTAACGGTCGGACTCGGACCAGAGATGTTTTAAAACAAAAACATTTTCGAAAATCGAAATTTTAAAACAACTCTGACTCGGACAGACAAAACACGGACGGACTCGGACACACATCAATTTTTATAGCATTTCCGTCCGTGTTTTGTCTGTCCGTGTCAATCCATCTTCATTTTCCTTTTCTTGCAGGTAATGGAAAAAAACAATTCCGTGCTTCTTTTGGGATAGGGCCAACTTATGAGTCCTTTATGAAAAACAGAAAAAAGGCAAATTTCTGCATTGATCTGCAGTTTTATTTGAAAAATCTCTTTACCAAGCAAAACAATTGCCAAACTCTCCGGCATAAATCGAACTTGGAATTTAATCAAAAGATGAACCAAAAGTATAGCAAGCACAATAATAAAGAGAATAAAGAAAATTGCCAAAGAATCAGCCTTCTCTTCTGCCTGCTTTTCATTTACAGGTGGTTCGGCAATTAAAGGTAATTTGGATGAATTTGAGCTAAAATAGAAACAAAATAAAAATTAGAAAATAATCTAATTAAAAACGATAAAATGATAAGTTATGACTCCACCCTCTCCAACAATATCCCGACCAATACCTTATTCAAAAAAGAAACCTTTCATTTGTAGCTGTAAGATTAACTGCATTTGCTATTAAATTCTTTGCCGTTTCATCAAGATTTTTTACAGAAAGTTTTCCATCATTACTAACTACGAGATTTCCATTTTGAATAAAAATGATTAATAAAAATAAAATAGTAGTAAAAAATTTATTCATTATTTAAAGTTGTTATTCCCTTAAAAATATAAAAGGAATTTTTTAAAAATAGAAAAATTGATTAAATTTTAGTAAAACAAATCATTCTTTCCAACTATTGTAGAAAAAGCAACAGCGAAAATGAAAGTAACGCTGGCAATAGGCCGTAAATCAAATATTAAAAAGCACCATCATACAACCAACGAAAAAATTGTTAAAGTATCTACGTCAAGATAAAAGAGAAATGAACACGCCTATCTCGGCGCAAAACAAAGACATGGCTTTCCAGTCATTTTTTTGGAAAAGGAGAGGGAGGCATTTTGTTGATTTGGTTAAAGGGACGGATTGCACAAGACTGGCTTTTGTTTCATAAAGGAGGAGGTTATGGATCGAAATATGGCTCAGGGACGCATCGATCCTTCCGGCTTCCTCCGCAGCGGCAAAAACTTTTTTTCCGTAGAAGCCCTATGTGGGAGGAAAAACAAATGGTATAACTTTGTGCAATCAAGTCAGATTTTGTTGATTTTGGTGTCATTCGACGCAGCTCGTCGAGCTCTTTCGAATGACATATAATTTGTAACCCAAAATCATCTGGGAAAGTAAAGGGGTGGGACCTAAATGGTATAAGTACCATTTTTTGGTATTATGAAAAATTTATTTCTTTTTCCATTTTGAAGATCCGCTTAATTATTTTTAAGAAAGAGTGTGTTAAATTAAGAGACGTTAGAAAAACGATGATTTTGGTTTTGTATAAAAGCTTATTTTTCTAAGAGATTTTCTTTTTCTTTAATCTACAATTTAATTTTTTAGATAGATTACTTCTTTACTTTAAATCTTCAATTTCTGTTTGTTTAAAAATGGCTTCTTCTTATGATCGAGCAATTACTATTTTCTCACCAGATGGTCGTCTCTTTCAAGTTGATTATGCGCAGGAAGCTGTTAAAAAAGGCTCAACTGCTGTGGGCGTTAAAGGGAAGGATTGCATTGTGATTGGCGTTGAGAAGGTTTTTTTGAGATTAAATTGGGTAAAAGTCCAAGAATAGACCACTCTCGACAACCGTTTGAACCCAAGTATCTCAGCTCTAATGTATGTGAGGCTGTTCATTGATCTTAGTCTCATTCGCTGACTCCAAGGTGCTAGCTTATTTGTTGTACAGCCAGTGGTCTATCCCCTTCAATCACACCAAATTCCTCGATATTTTCTTTTAACATTCCTTTTCAAACTGTGGGTCTCCAAGCAATAAGTTTTCAGGGTATAGGTCAGGCGGGGACTCATTTTTCAATATTTGATAGTGGTTCGTATTTATGACTTTACTTAACTTGTTTATTTTTACTTAAAATTTTACAGAAATCTGTTCCTGTTCTTCAAGATGACCGCACAATTCGGAAGATACACAAATTGGATGATGTTAGTTTGCTTTTGGGTTAAATAGCCAAAATTAAATTTGTTTTTCAGCACGTAATGGCTGCTTTTGCTGGTTTGAGTGCAGATGCTCGTGTTTTGATTGACCGTGCCAGGTTGAACTTGTTGAAATTTGTTGGGTTTTAGGGTTTGAACTCTTTAGGTACTCTAACACTAAGATGTTTTGTACCCTTGGCAATGCCCTAAAGTCTTAAGTGCATATTTTTGCTCATTAGCAAGAAGCCCGTTTTCGATTTCTTGTTGATTGAGGTAAATAGAGCATAAGTTATTACCCTTCACCTACTAACCGTTTTAAATGCTAGCTAACTAATTTTAAATGTTTTTTAATATTAGCTACTCTTCCACAATCTTAAACTTTTTTTAGAGTTGCTTGTGAAAATTACAAATTGACTTTGGAGGATCCAGTCACACTTGAGCATATCTCCCGCTTTATTGCGGACTTGAAACATGTTTGCCATTTTTTCTTAGAAAATATTCTTTTTCCTTTTAGGAATTTACGCAAACTACAGGCCGTCGTCCTTTTGGTGTCTCTTTACTTGTTGGCGGTTTTGATCCCGATGGAACTCCTCATCTTTTTATTACTGAACCATCCGGTGTGTATTACGAATTACTTGCTGGGTCTATTGGCAGAAACGAGAAAGTGGTCAAAGAATATTTGGAGGAACACTACAAGGACGAAAATGTTGAGAACGAAAATTCTGCCTTGAAGTTGGTTATTAAGGCCCTTATGCCAGTGGTTCAGACGGGGGCGCGTAATATGGAGATATCGGTAAGAATAGTTTTTTAATGTTTGGGGTTGAGGGAAACTTTTATGAGTACAAATTCTGTTTATTTTTTTACATTTTCCTTTTGTTTTTTGACATCAATCAAACGTTTTACATAAATAAAAGTTAAAGGAGTAAAAAATGTAGCTTTTATATAAAAAAATCTGCAAAAATTGTCTGCAACTTTTTGAGAGCCTCTCGATTAAAAATTTAACAATTCGATTTTCCCTTTTATATTTAAGGTGATGACACGTGACAACCAAAATAACTGCGTACAGCGTGTCCTTACAACTACTGAAATGGAGGCAATTTTGCACGAGATTGAATCGGAAGCAATGGAGACTGCTTAGACTTTTCTTTATTTTATTTATAATTTGTTTTTGTCTTGATCAGTCGGACCTTATTTTTAGATACTCCTTGGGGGTGGAAAATTGTATGGTGTATTTTATTTAGGGAGTATTTCTCACATCAGTCAGCTCCCTTACCCAGTGGCCAATCAAATTAAAAACATTTTCAAATTTAGGTTTATCTCATTCTGTGGGTATCTGATAATGAGGTTTACTATAATATACCTATTTGCTATTTTTGTTAAATAAACGTTTTGACTATCTTACAAAATGTTCCTTGGCTTCGCGGTACCTTGAGGTGTACCCGTGGTTTTTAATGAGTTTGTAACTGGAGTTGTTCACTACCGGTTTTAAAACCAAAAATTTTAATATTTTTTTGTCAAAAATTTACCGTTTTTACAAAATTAAAAAACGAAAACTTCTGATTGTGAAAATGAGTGATTTTATTAAAAATCCCCCAAAATAAAATCGGTATTTGTCTAAAACTCAAAACCGAAAATAAAAATTATTTTTCTGGATATAGTATAGTATACCGGTGGAAAGGTTTCAATATGTGACACATACCATTCGATTCGTCTCGGCGAGCTGAGTCGAATGGTACCACTCTTTTTTTCCGGAGATGCCTGTGGACCGAGATATAGGTCCCCGAAAATCGAAAAACCATAGGGGGGTAATCATGAAGAATCTGGGATCCACTTTTAAAAACCTTAAAAATCATTATTTTTTCTGAAGATTATCTCAAATAGGTAATCGATCATGCTGATCACGAATCTGATACCAGATCTTGTCAGATATGACATTTTATCTATGATTTTTTATCATGTACTTGATTTCCAGCTAAGATTCTGTTGTTCATAACTTTGTTCACAGTTATTCAATCGAGCTCATTTTGCTGTCATTCGACTCAGCCAGACGAGCTCTTTCGAAGGTGTCCGGAAAATTGGGCTCTGGAAAATTGGGCTCCAAGATTTTTCGGAAAATTGGGCTCCAACTTTTCGGAAAATTGGGCTCCAGCGGAAATTTGGGCTCTAAGTGAAAAAACCGGAAAATTGGGCTCTAATTTTTTAGGCGCGGGGAATTGTGGGCGTCGGAATGAATTTTTGGATTTATTCAAGAAATATCACAAAATTCACTGGAGTGCTGATACTTAGTGGGTAGGTCGGCATTTCAAAGCTGAAAATCAGTAAAAAGGAATAGGTTTATGTTACTGTTGTAGAACCCAGCGACCGTTGACTCCTGCGAGGCGCGTGCCGCAAAATCCCGCGCGAAGCGCTGGATTTTGCACAAGCGCCTTGCCGACGCCCATAGGTTTACGTTGTTTGATTTTGTATCATGTTTCGGAGAAATCAAAAATTTACTTAGACGCCCACAATTCCCCGCGCCTAAAAAATTAGAGCCCAATTTTCCGTTTTTTTCACTTAGAGCCCAAATTTCCACTGGAGCCCAATTTTCCGAAAAGTTGGAGCCCAATTTTCCGAAAAATCTTGGAGCCCAATTTTCCAGAGCCCAATTTTCCGGCACTCCTTTCGAATGAGGGGTCATTTGTATAATCGAATTTTTTGACACCAAAAATTTTCGGTACTATTGACTTATAGGGGACTTTTTTTGGCTGGACTTATTTCGACAAATGATATGTCATTCGAAGAGCTCGTCGAGCTGAGTCGAATGAGGGGTGAATGGTGTCGACAGACAATCAGGGACCGAGTTACAGACCCCTGAAGTTTAAAAAAGAGAAGGGGGGAGTAAGCTCATTTTGGTCAAAAAATTCAAAAATGTAAATTATAGCTCATTCGAAAGAACTCCTCGAGCTGAGTCGAATGACACCAAAATCAGCTCGATTGAACAAGTTTGGACAAAGTTATGTGTCGTTTTTAGCTCCTTACCTATGGTCTCCGCGGTACGTCCAAAGCAAGGGAAATAGGAATAGGTTTATGTAACGAGCCCAGACCCAGTGCCCGTAGACTCCCCGCGAGGCGCGTGCCGCAAAACTCCGCGCGAAGCGCGGAGTTTTGCACAAGCGCCTCGCCGACGCCCCATAGGTTTACGTTGTTTGTTTTTTGTGTCATAACTTTGTCCAAACTTGTTCAATCGAGCTGATTTTGGAGTCATTCGACTCAGCTCGAGGAGTTCTTTCGAATGAGCTATAATTTACATTTTTGAATTTTTTGACCAAAATGAGCTTACTCCCCCCTTCTCTTTTTTAAACTTCAGGGGTCTGTAACTCGGTCCCTGATTGTCTGTCGACACCATTCACCCCTCATTCGACTCAGCTCGACGAGCTCTTTCGAATGACATATCATTTGTCGAAATCGGTCCAGCCAAAAAAAGTCCCCTATAAGTCAAGATTTCCAAATTTTCAAATTTCGGGGGTCTGTAACACGGCCAAATGAAGTCGGATTTTGTTAATTTTGGTGTCGTTCGACTTATCTCGAGGAGCTCTTTCGAATGAGCTATAATTTGTATAATCGGATTATTTACCCCAAAATCGACCTTACTTCCCCCTATGGTTTTTCGATTTTCGGGGGCCTATATCTCTGCTAGTTTTCGTTTCCGGTAAAAAATTCTTGCATATTTGAACTCAGCATAGTCGATTACCGGCAATCCCGGAGAATCGTGGTCCCTGCGGAAAAAAATCTTAAAAATAAGGAAAAGGATTTTTCTAGGGTAAAAAATTATTCTGATCACGAATCTGAACTCAGATTTTGAAAAAGTCGAATCCCGGGCCCGAACCAAATTTCGAACCCCGAACCCGAATTTCGAATATACAAATGATAGCTCATTCGAAAGAGCTCGTTGAGCTGCATCGAATGACATCAAAATCAACGTGATTGGACATGTTTCGACAAAGTTATGACACAAAGTAAACCTATGGGAGTACTGCGTGAGTCGGCGACTTATGTCATAACCTTGACAAAACTTGATCAATCACTGTAATTTTGGTGTCATTCGACTCAGCTCGACGAGCTCTTTCGAATTAGGTATCATTTGCCTAAACTTTTTTTTACTTCAAAAAATCACCCCTATGGTTTTTCAATATTCCGGGGTCTGTATCTCGGTCCAATCACGTCGGATTTTATCGAATTTGGTGTCATTCGATGCAGCTCGATGAGTTCTACATGCATATGAAAGACTGACCATTTTGTACAATGTCCGACAATGTCCGGGGTCAAATTCAGAATTCGGGTCCGGGATTCGACTTTTTCAAAATCTGAGTTCAGATTCGTGATCAGAATAATTTTTTACCCTAGAAAAATCCTTTTCCTTATTTTTAAGATTTTTTTCCGCAGGGACCACGATTCTCCGGGATTGCCCGATTACCTATATGAAATGATTTTCAGAAAAAAATAATGATCTTTAAGGTTTTTAAAAGTGGATCCCAGATTCTTCATGATCACCCAAAATCCTGCCAAAAATTGAAAATTCAGTAAAAATTTAGGAAAAAATTTGTAAAAATTACAAATTTTGTAAAAAAAATTTTTTTGTTTTTAGGCGAGACCCATAAATGTCCCATACCCATAATGTATCACGCCCAAAACGTCCCATCCCAAAATGTCCCACCACCAAAACGTCTCATCTAAAATGTCAAATAGATAAAAATACTCAATTTGTCGGACTATACATTTAAAATGAGAGTAATCTTAATAGAAATAGGTGTTTTAATGTTTTTAATTCAAAAAAATTAAAAATTCTACTTAAAAATTGTATTGTTGCTGCATAATTTTCTGAATATTTTGGTTTATTTGCATATTTTTGTGCATAATTTGTCAATTTTTTATGCATATTATTTTTTATGCATATTTTTCATTTTTTAATGCATAAATATCCGGTCTCTAAATATCCGGTCTCCACCTACTAACCGTTTTAAATGCTAGCTAACTAATTTTAAATGTTTTTTAATATTAGCTACTCTTCCACAATCTTAAACTTTTTTTAGAGTTGCTTGTGAAAATTACAAATTGACTTTGGAGGATCCAGTCACACTTGAGCATATCTCCCGCTTTATTGCGGACTTGAAACATGTTTGCCATTTTTTCTTAGAAAATATTCTTTTTCCTTTTAGGAATTTACGCAAACTACAGGCCGTCGTCCTTTTGGTGTCTCTTTACTTGTTGGCGGTTTTGATCCCGATGGAACTCCTCATCTTTTTATTACTGAACCATCCGGTGTGTATTACGAATTACTTGCTGGCTCAATCGGCCGAAATGAGAAGGTTGTCAAAGAATATTTGGAGGAGAATTATAATGATGCCAATGTTTCAAACGAAAACTTGGTCTTGAAGTTGGTGGTCAAAGCTTTTGTCCCAGTTGTGCAAACTGTAGCGCGTAATATGGAGATATCGGTAAAAATAATTTTTTAAAGATTTTGAGGATTGGATGAGATTTGAGAACAATTGGCTCTTTAGTTTCTAACATAAGTAGGCAAACTAATTTATGGTTCTAGAAAATAACCCCCCTGATTTGCTGAATTGTGTGACCTGTTTGCGTTTTGTTTAGTATTCCGAAATTTTTCCGGAAAAAATATAACTTATTAATTTATTAAGGTTTTGAAGCGTGATAATGAGGGGAATATTGTTCAACGTGTTCTACTCACTGATGAGTTGGAGGAAATTTTACGTCAAATTGAAGCTGAAACTATGGAGACTGTTTAGTCTTTCTTTGATTTTTTAAAAATTCAGTCGAACCTCATTTTTAGATACTCTTGGGGCTGAAAAATCGTATCTTATTTTGAGGTATATATTAGATACGGGTACAGCCCGATTAGGCCCGAGCCGATTAGGCGCCGGCCGATTAGGCGCGCGGCCAATTAGGCGCCAAGCTTATTAATTAAATATCGAACAAAATGACCTCCAAATTCTAAAAATAGATCGATTCTGATAATACCGGACAAAAGCAGACGTTATGAATCAAAGCCTGGAGCTTTCGAGCAGTTTCTTTTAGCAAACAGTCGATAAGGAGACCATATTCTGGTCTTTGGTCGTGAAACTTTTCAAGGTTTTTTAATTT